TTTTTTTTAATTTTTAAAAAAAAAAAAAAAAAAAAAAGTAAATACCTTCAGTGCCGGGCATCTTCTTCAGTATGGCAGTGTAAGATTCAGCTTCCTTTATCAAATAGATTTCTGTAATTTAGTCTTTATTTTTTAAACTTAAAACACTTCTATGTGAATTTCATGTCTTGTCTTTTCTTTTCACGGAAACAATTAGGATCAAGTAATACATTCATGAAAACTTCTCAGACTTTTATGTATTAAACAGTATTTTTAAATTGCAGTTTGTTGTTGCTCTAAATGTTAAAAAATATTTGTGTAAAAATATGTATGTAATCTAAGGACTACATAATAGCTTGCTACAGATGTGTGGGGAGCCTGCTCTGATGCACTGGAAATCTGTCAGAGCAGACTCGATTAATCAAGTCTGTTGGAGCACAGAAATTGATGCAGTCTGGCAGCCTTCCACATCACATGTATCAGCATTCCTGTGTGTTCCTGTGCTGAATAAATGGCAGCAAGACATTTTGAAAATAAAATGCTTTCCCTAAGCTTGAATTCAGAGCGCCCTGCCACCATTTTTTCAGCACGGGGATGCTGATGCACGTCGCATGAGCACTTTAAATTAATGCGGCTTGCTAATTAAAGTGCCTGGTGCCTCATTCTAGAACACACACAAAAATGCCCCTAGAGATCAGCTTTGATGTCTTACCTTTAAAATGCCTACAGTATTTCTAGAAAAAAAAACCATTTCTGTTGTCCTCCTGTCAGAGGAAAAGATGACAGTACCATATTCAAACTGTAGACAGAATATTAACATTTCAGAACATATTTTTGTAAAATTGCTTCTTCCCTTGTCCTGTTAGATGGATATAAGAGGTTTTTAAAATTTTCAGGTTCCTGTTATCAAAATGGATCACTGCTTTTGTGTGATGCATTTTACCAACAGGCCTGTCATTTCACGTTTGACTACAGAAAAATAAATGTCTAATGGAATGATGATACCAGGGTGACCAACCTGTGACGTGTGCCACAAGTGGCACAAGCAGCCTGTCTGTGTGGCATGCTCCCTCCAACCTGTCACAAGGGAACACAGTGGCAGATAGGGCAGGGAGCAGAGCAACAGATTGGCCAGGGAAAGGGGATCAGAGTGGCACTTGGGAAGGCTGGAGAGCTTGCTTGTGACACATCTGTCAGAAAGATTGGCTCTCACTTATATAATATGTAGAAGTAACTCTGATGGAATAAGTTATTAGCAGGGATCCTGGTTTTATCCGCTTAAAAATCCCCAATTCTCTGGTTTAAAAAAAAAAAAAAAATCTAAAATTTTCTGATTAACCCCCACCCCCCCAAATCCTGTATTTTTTCTGCAATTAAAATGCCACTATATATCAGGTATCAGTTAAACATAATGTTTTATTATTATATTTACAATTTGAAAGCAGTCTGGAAGTCTGCCAGTACCTCAATCATTATATTATAATAAATTCTAAATACCTATATATTTTGGTATTTGATTTTTTTT